GATGGGTAACGGAAGGGAGGAGCGTGCGGGGTTCCGAGCAGGGTATGGGCCGGAATCACCGGGGAGGTCACATCCCTCCACCCCCCTGCTGGTGTGCTCTCCCCCCCCGTATGGGTGATACATCTTGTTGACTTGCATCATTGCTCCTCAGCCGCCCCCCTCCTGAAATGTCCTTGCCGGTGTTTGGGAGAAAAGTCACTCCAGGCCAAGCTGTTAACTCAGCCGGCCACAGGCAGAGCTGAGAGGAGCGGGGTGTTATGCAGGAAGGTGATGGCCGCTGTCGATTGGTCCTTAGATCTGTGGAAGACAATTACAGGGCTTGTTAGTGTCCTTCATCTCCCCTAATTGGCTGATTTCTCCCCCAGATCAATAGGGTTCTACCCAGACACGTGTAAAACGTTCCCTGAAATTTTGGAATTGAGCAGATGGGGTATTTCAGAGTTATCACTTTCCTCCAGACACTGCCGCGTGCCCTCAAGAGGAGAGCTGGGCCGCACGTTGCTCGGCCGGGAAAATGATGCGGCCTCTCCAGTACTTGACCATCTGCTGTCCCACTGCACTGACCTCCCAGGTGGCCTGGCTGAAATTGCTGCCAGGCACAGCTGAACGGAGGGACTGATCAGTTGTCACCATTCCTTCTGAATTCGAAGTGCACAGCCACTAAGTACCCACTTGCTCTGCCTCTTCCCAGCTTACGTCTGGTCTGAGTCCTGCCAGCCCTCTGCCTATTTTCCTAGCCCTTCTTAGGCTCTTTCGGCTCAGCGAGGTGATCGTGACCAAAGTCCTGTTCAGAGGGAATGGAAAACTGCTCAGTACGATACCGTGAGATGTTGAGCCTCACTTGCTACCCTACGGGCTTACGGCAGAGCACTTCCCAGGTTCAGAGTCCTGTGAGATCAATAGATCGGCTGGATTCCGCAGGCTAGGTTACTTTCTGTACATATCCAATTCACTTTCATTGGTCACCATGCTGTCTTTTCCTTCTGGACTGTTAGGAGTGAAGCTGTCTTTCCATGGGAGAGAGGGGAAGAGCTTGGGAGAACATCCCTAGGGCGAGCTGCAGGTTAGTGAGTAGCGAAGTCCTGGTGCCATAGTACAGGGAGAGAGAACAGCAGTGAGGGTAGAAGGCAAGGTCTAAAACAGCCATGAACGTGAATGACTGTTCGTGGTTTAACCAGCACAACGGCGGTTGCACACTTCCTGTTGCTGCTCAGATTCAGTCTCATTAACCAGTTTTCTCTCTCAGGACCCTACACCTCTTTTTAAAGTGTACGTGGAAGAGCTGGTCCAGCAGCTCACAGCAGATGTGAAGAAATCCTAGCTCAGAATAGCTTGCTGCCACAGCCTGGAGTGTACGATCTTCCAGGACTCTCCATGCCAACAGGCCTCCCTCTGCCCCGAGTCTCTCGTGGGACAGAACCATGTGCTAACGCGTTGGATCCAGAGAGCACATGGCTGTTGTTACTGTCTAGCAGTCGTGGAACAATGTGAAGCATGAATTCAGAAAGAAAATGGCCCTTTTGATCAGGGGAAGGAGTTACCCCCTAGGGTCCGATCGTGCACCTGTTACACTGGCCGAAGCGATGCCATCTGCCTCTGCAAATAATTCCCTTTGAAGTCTGATTCA